CCCCCCCCCATGTATATGTATTATTAGAATTCACTTACGTAATCTAAATCTCATAATAAATAAAAATGAATAAAAAATTTTCAAGATACAAATCAACTTGTTTCGACTTCAATTGAATTTCAACATATAATTGCTTTAATTGAACTATCTCAAATACCAATCCATGTGGTTTGTTAATTTTCAAATGAATTATACAGTTTTATTGAATAAATAATGTTTTGTCTAATATTAGTCTCCAACAATTGAAAATATTTTCAATACTCTTCAAACAATTCTTCAAACATGTCCATTCATTATTGCGGACAATCATAAATGGAATGAAATAACTCAACAACACATCGAACAATATCATTCAAATTTCGCTGATGCTAATTCTAAATCTAAATTAGTTTCATTAATACGAAAAGAATATTTTCTTGATATTTTAGCTGGTAATTTGAATTTTCTACTAAAACTAGTAGATCTTTTATTGCTACTTTTTCTTTAATCACAATAAGCATTATCGATTCTATCAAAAGTTCAAAACAGTGAAAATATGCCACGTATATTTGAGTGTGAGCTGTTGAACCAAATGACATTTCTTCTATTTACATTTGGCAATAAACATCATTTAAATATTCGTTCATGTCAAACCTGTAATCAAATTATTCAGCAACTAATACAACATTGTCAATTAAGAAATTATATTTCGACAGTAAAAAGTTTTATTTATTTTTAATGATGATTGACTAATGAAACAATTTTTATTTTTTCATTAGACTTGTGCACCACAAAAATCAATGCATTTTCGGGATACAATTTTGTCTGATCACGAATGGAGTGATGATAATGACGATGCAATCGACGATGCATTTGCTGATCATGATGACGATAATAGTGATGATGAAATTATTTTGAATAATATTTCAAATAAAAGTTCTGAACCGATGAAACCATCTTATAGAGTAAGAAGATTAGTTTTCAAAAATAAATAAATAAATAAATAAATAAAATTTTAAGATTAATTATAAAGAATATCATTTTCAATTGAAATTTTTTGCTAAATTAGTTGGTTCCTATATTGAAGCCATTGTTACAATATTAAAATATCATATTGACAAACAATTGAAATTTTTCACATTAGAACAATTCAATTTTAATCAAACATTTTATTTTAGTAAGAAACATCTTTTTCAAATAATATTCATTGTAAATAATTGTATGTTTTTTTCTTGTTTAGGTGAAACAGTCTCGTTCATATCTAATGATATTCTTTCATTTATACGTCGAGCATATGCATATCAATCAATAGAAAACATCAATAAAGCTGAAGAAGTACTGATAGTTTTTGATCCGATAGATGATGATATATATCCATTATTAAAAGATAATCTTGTACCGCTTCATAATGAATTCGTTAAGCTATTAAATTGTTGTTGTATTTAACTTAAGCAAAAAATAAAACAGCAGCACTACGAAGTAATAGTAAATACTTGAAATTTTCTAATTAATAGATGAAACTAAATACAAACAATTAGTTTTTCGTATTTTTGTTTTTGATGAACTAAAAGACTGCTTTCAAAGAAAGTTCATTACAAGATATAAAACATAGTTTCTTAGCAGATATTTTATGAGACTTATTTTAAAAAGTACGTATATCTATTGATTGATGTAAACATATGTTTCATAAAGGAAAATGTCATAAGCAAAAGCTTGAAATTAATATAGCAGATTTTCGCGTGTTTAAATATATGTTCCTTTCATAAATACATAGACACTGCCTACTAGAAATTATTTGAAATATGCCATATGGTCGAAGGCATGGGGACAAACAAATAAGCTGAGAATAACTGTGACAATTTAGTCAAAAAAACGAGTACGTTTATCAAATGATAGCAGTTACATCTTAAAAAATCTAACTATTCATGTCAATAAAACATTCTAACGTTGGATAGATGAGCAAAACAAAATAGTATCATGTGATTCCTATTTAGATAAAATAGGGCATGAACATAAATGTTTTTTCGATGAATTTTTCACAGAATAACTCGTTGTTCATGTAGGCTTCATTAATTGCTAGGTTTCTATCAAATCATGCATAGTAAGAATCATACAATCTTTGTTTTCATATATAACTCTTTTCAAAAAATAATCGTAAATAAGCTTAGCTACATTTTGCGACTGTCATATTTGAATAATTGCATCAATACATAATTCTATACCTATAAAAAGCAAGCTAATGATGCTTTAGTTACGAAAAATCACGTTGTTGAATCAATAGAAACATCTAATCTATATTCCATATGTTACTGATTAAATAGCTAACACTTGAAATACAAGAATAATATATCCTTCCGTTTTCTATTATGATATTTCTATTTTAATCTTTTAGAACAATAAAATTATTATTCAACGCTTTCTGATTATCACATTTAATGATATTAAACAGTGTCTGAAAATTGTCATTCTTTTCACTAGGAAAACATTTCGAGATATCATTGTAATCATAAAACACAAAAATAGATTATAATCATCAAGAATCTTCTCCAGCAAAAATTACGAATGCATTTATTTTTCTTTTGGTTGTAGAAAGTTTCTCTAAGAGCCATTGCTGTTAACGATGATAACTTGTCATTCTTTTTCTTTTTACTTTTGCTTGTGCATCATTATGTATCGTTCGATGTCTGTCTAATGTCATCCTATAATTAATTTTTCATTTAACCATAAAATCATTTTGATGAGTGTACATATACGTATGAGAACGAGAGAGAGAGAGAGAGAGAAATTTGTGTATCGCCTTTTACTCATATTTAAATGGATGTATGTAGATACGCTTGTCATATTTATAGTTGATTGATCATTGGTCGTCGTTATCAACAGGTTATGCTCGAATGATTTTGTTGAATAGAGAAGAAGAAAAAGTGAGGAAGCGCACACGAAACATTTGAATAATTGTACAGGTTAAGAGTAGTATCATATTTATATTCGTTTACTTTTTGAACACACATCGCTTCGATAACCACTCTTGAAGGGAATCGAACTCGAATGACAATACATTGAAAATGTTCATTCTCTTCTAAGTGGCCTTTGGACGATGTTTATCATCTTGATATCATTCATAAAATAGATTAGCTTTTTTTCTTCTTATTTTTATTTTAAAAATACTCATTTAACAATTTACAAGAACTAATGGATTCGAACCTAGTTTTCTAATTGTACAACTAGACTTTGGTCAGCAAGTTCTTCATTTTGTATACTATTTATTTCTATTGATTGCTTTTTTGAATAAACATTAAATAAAGCCTTTTTAGATGTTTGTTTTTGATAAGAACAAAATAATTTTTGAAATTCTTTTCGAAATATGGGCCCAGTTAGTGTATATACATAAAAATGTGATGCATGATTTGTTTGATGTAAAAGAATCAAGAATGTTGTAATTGCCCATAATTCACAAGAATATTTCATTTGAAAATGTTGGCTTAAATGTGTACGTACAAAATCATTGATTTCCGATGGTGATGATAAAATTATGAATAATAATGATGTTGAAATTAAAAGCCATGTTAACTGACGATCTTTTTCTTTACGACGACGATTTTTTCGTTTTGTTGAAGACATTGACAGTAAGATATCTCTTCGTGTATATTTAAATATAATAATTGTATTACAAATAAATATAATTGTAAATGGTATAAGAACTGTTTTAATTATATCAATATATGAATCATAATGATGAACATAGAAATAATTATAATTTCCAGTTGTTGGCAAACAAAAGCCATCTTTATCAACATGGAAACCAACTAAAAAATGACTATTCGTCAGACCCAATGTAACAACAACAAATATTATCATTAATTTAGCTGTTAATTTTCTACAAAATCGATAGCGTAATGTAGAATTTGAAATAAGAATACAACGATCCATAGCAGCTAATGTTAGCAAATAATTTGATATATCGGTCGACGCATAAATAAGAAAAATAACTGATTTACACATAAATGAGTTCGATAATAATTGAATACTATATCCATGAAACAGAAGACTTTCAATTGTATAACTAATCAATACGCATATATCACTCACATTTAACGCCAAAAAATATATCGAACATGAACGAGAACGAAGTGTCTTGCGACTAAATACAAGAATAGATAGAAAATTTCCAATACAACCAAATATAATAACAAGTGTGCCGGCATATCGAAGAAATGATCCGACATCAAATCTACATTGAGTCGTATAATTCGTGGAGCTATTTGTTTGGTTATACATCATTAATATTGTTGACCAATTCGAAGAGAACTTAATATAGATATAATTAGATCAACTAAACTTGAAAATAACGGAATTTCTATAATTGAAGAAGAAAAAAATAAAATCTTGATGTGGATTAAAATTTTCTAAAACTGAAATAATTACTCGCTACTTATAGGGTACTAGTTCTTATTAATTCATCACTATAACGACTCCTTTGTACTAAATATGGTTTGATCAAATAATGTGATTCTCATAGAGATTATTTTATTTGTCATATATTTATAAAAGCACTGCCATGAGCATTTATAAGCGCATAGAAAATAACTCTCATTGTGTTATGTCAGAAAAAACAGATTAATGTTTATGTATACGCTTCTGTTAAGTCACATACTTCATGAGTAACGGAATAGAAACAAAGCTCGGATATATAAAAAAATTCATAACTGCACAGCTGCTTATCTTACTAACAGCACATCCTCCCTTATCAATAAATAATAAATAATAAAAAAGAATAACCCATCATCTCATGCTACCATGCGAAGTTGACTAATTATAATTACAAATATAAATAAAAATTATTTCGAAAATCTTCGTTAGTTTCTGTTTCAAGCAGAATACCCACGTCAGTTAGGGGTAGCACTTTAACTTTACTTTAAAAATAAAAGTTGAACGTAGATTTTAAATTTTTAGAGTCAAAGTTAAAGTATATACTTTAAGAGAGAGCCGTCCATAAGGCCATCACGGATTGGAAGCACTCGATAAAAATTATTGTTTTGGTTTTATTAGCGCATTCGAAACTTCCATGTGTGAAACTAGTAACCTGAAAATTTTAGCTTCTAATATCGTTCCTATGAAGAGTTACATAAGGACGACTTTGAGCACTATCGTAGTTTTTCGAGAAAAACAACAGTTAAAATCGCTCGTTTCATTTACGTCTATTTGTGCTTCAGCAGATCATCCAAATCTTTCAAGGAATACGTTAAAAGATAGGTTATTCTGAGTTGAACAAGGATAGATATTTAAAGTTTTGTATATCACTTAGTTTTTGGGACTATTCAATGCAGCAAGTATGTGCACTGACAGAATTTTTCAATTCTTCACGACTAGTTTTTTACAGTATATTTGATCTCATCTCATCTCTTCAATTTAAGAGGACCCAAGCATTTTTTGCATGGGTTTGTAGAACTTCTGATTCTGCACAAAACCATAGAAACATATTGAAAACAAGAGAGTATACTGGGGCCTAAAAATGTCTAGCATTGCTTTTTACCTAGTCAATACCGCATTGAAAATCAAGCCTCTAAGCTATCTATTGGTCATTCGTCCATGGAAATATTAGTCTCAGAGAAATTACAACTTCAGTCTGAAGATAATGGCAGAGATAGTCCTTTCGAAAAAGAAACAAAAATTTTCGATCTACATGCCTGTCTGAGGAGTACAGGAGTAACGCAAATTTCCAAAGAATTTTTTTTTCTCATAATTAAATAGAGATTATCTCAAACAATAGAGGTTGAAAAGCTGATCACAATCATATATTGTAACCCCAACATAATTGATTATTATACGATAAAAATCAGTTCTGCATGCAATATCTGCAGCACATGTAGCACACAATTTAGTATGAAACTAGATTACTTATCGTCATATGCAACGATAAATATTAGGATTAGAGTANAGACGTAAATGAAACGAGCGATTTTAACTGTTGTTTTTCTCGAAAAACTACGATAGTGCTCAAAGTCGTCCTTATGTAACTCTTCATAGGAACGATATTAGAAGCTAAAATTTTCAGGTTACTGGTTTCACACATGGAAGTTTCGAATGCGCTAATAAAACCAAAAAAATAATTTTTATCGAGTGCTTCGTATGCTGGGGACGTCCTCGATGCTCTCATGGACTCTCTCTTAAAACTTTAACTTTAATAAAAGTACTGTAAAATGAAAAATAATTTTTAGCTCTTTATGTGCAATTTGATGTGGGTTTTAGAGTAACTTGAAACTTGAAACTTTAATAAACAGAGTTTAAAGTTTAAAGTTACTGTAAAAACCATATATAACCGTACATAAAGAGCTAAAAATGACTTCTAATTTTTACACTACTTCTATTAAAGTTGACTTTAAACTCTATGTACCTTTTTTTAAAGTTTAAAGTTAAAGTGCCCCCCTCCTCTAACGTCAGTTAAGAAGGAAATGTGACCAAATTAAACGGATTTCCGATAGAAATCAACAACAGAATTGCGTTTTAAAATAATAATAGCTTACAAAACTATTTTAGTTCTTATTTTTATTCAATGACTGCAGTATAAATCAATGAACATGCTTTCTAATAACATACCATTGAAAACAAAAGAATATGATTACAATTTTAAAAAATGTTTTCTACATGTTTTAAAAGACTATTATATTAATACGAATATATTCTCTCTCTCAATAGCTGCTATTTGTTTTAGTTCAGATTATTAATTATAATTGAAGTGTATCAAACATACTCATCCTAGATGAGTATTTTTCACTTACCTCAATACAGACAAGTAAAATGTGAGTCAACTTTGAATAGACTCGAATTTTTATTTAATAAAAATTTGTCAGCATTCACTTTCATGTCTGCCATGAAAGAATCTAACGTCAAAATACATGAGATTTTTACAAACAATTGGAACATTAAATGATATATATAGTATAAAAATATGTCAATTGGAAAGTGCATGGGTTGCATCAAATTAAAAATAAAAGCTTTTTACGCTAGTAATATTTATTGTGTTAAATTGTCTATGATTATTATTATTATCTATCTAGAGAATATGTTTTTAAGCATTATAATAATATGATATGACTTGATATCAATCAATGATTTCTATTAAAAATAGTATCAGCACATTTTGTTTTTGTTAGATATTAAGATAAAACATTGAAAAACAATGTTGAATCGTCAACATTTTTTTTCTAGTTTGTCTTTAAAATTCTCATATATATATATTTATATTTATTCATCCGTTTGAATTTACTTACTTATGAGTCGATGATAATTCATCACTGCGTCTTTATGCTTCAACTTGTAATATGTTCAGTGTTCCAGTTAGTGGAATGTAACGAGTAAAAAATTGAGTTTCCGTTTATGTGCTAGTCTTTCAGCAAATAAATTGTGTAAATGAATTACTGAAACACATAAGAAAAAAAGAAAAAGAAAAGCTCAATTTACGCCATTTTTTTTATATTTTTTCTGCAACAAAAAGAAAAGAAAAATTTTCGATTCTGTATTCGTCTTTAGTCAATGTTCAACTAGGTTTCTTTACGTATCGTGGAGTGCGTAAATAGAATAAGAAAAGGATCGATAAAGGTTCAGTTGATGTGGATGGAAATTTATCTCATGCACTAATTTGATACGCATAACATATCATGCATTAAGTTGACACGCATCACATCACAATTTTAACTAAACGCTTTCTGTTGTTTACAAAATAAATGAGTAAATTTCTCAACTATTTTCTCTATAGCAATAATAGTAAAACTGAAGGTTTACAATAACATCATGGTTCTTTTCGAAAGAAACTGAAAGAATAGGAAATCAATGAGCTCCAGTTTTCATAACTATGAAGTTTTTCTTCGTTTTATATTGTTACAATCATTATCTATAATAGGAAAAAGTCAATGTATTAGATTCAGAATAAGAAAAAAGGAATCAATAGAAATTTTCATCATATTAACATCATACACAATGTTCAGATATGAAAAGAAGAAGTAAAATAAACGGCAACATGATGAAATCTTCATGACCGTCAATTTTCTTCCTGTTTTCTACATTACATTTCTTTCGATGATCCTCAGCAAACAAAAACTGTTATCATTAATTGTTAGTTCGGACATAAATTATTCATTTTTAAAACAAACGAGAGATATTTTCGTAAGATGAAATTACATAACTTAGTTATGTTTGATTTTTTTTTTATTAAAAGTTGTTCAACGAGCTAGAATTTATTCATGTGACTAATTTTAATTCGACATACTCATGTTTAGATATGTATAATGAACTGATCTACAATATTTGTCGAATACTAAAGAGAAGAACATGTTTTTTCTTTTAAATACATTAACTATAAATAGAATTTCGTCATCACTATACGAGTGTGCATTTCTTTTATGATATAATATATATTAATGTAATCTTTATTTCTTTCTAATGATCTCTGTAGTCATAATTACTATGTATTGTTGCATAAATGAACAGCAAATGCTGTTAAATTACTTATGTGATAAGACTACGAAAAGAAATTCTATTCATTTGCGAAGAAAAGCAATCAGACGCCTATTTGTAACTGAAAATACAATAAAATACTTAATGTTTCGTTCCGATTCTCCTCAACAGAATAAGTATTGTTTTTATCGGCATGTTGTTCAAAGCGTGATTTTGTCATCACTTTTACTCTGTCGAATGCTTCTAACAATGTACGTCATTTTAAACTCAGTAGTCACAGAAGTTTGATTTTCCACGGTGAAAAAACTCGCTGCTTTTTTATACTAATGAACTTGTTGACATCAACAATAAAGTACTCGAATCTAAAGCAGGCAGAGAAAGTCATAATAATTACAGTGCTCATTATTGACATCGATATAAATATATTTTATTTTCATTCAACATCTGAATATAAACGATAACTTCTTATATATAATTACCGTTTTAAGATATACTTGAAATGTAATGATCGCTGCATGTAACGAATTCTCTATTGGTTAATCTTAATCAAGTACATATCGATCCATGTCATGAACTACGAAATCTGTTCATATAAAAATAATATTTCAGTACAACAAATCGATTGAACTGGTTGAAACCAAGAAACAAGATGGATTAGCATTTGCAAGGTAACCACATAGGAATAATGCCTTGAAAAACTGTACTTAAAGCTACGTCATAGGGGATTTCGAGTTTAGAAATAGATTGCTACTGTTCGACCAACACAAGAAGAGATTTTATGGAGCTTAGTATAAGCATAAATTCTAAATTATTATATATGAAAACAA